TGCATAAAATTTGAATTTTGAAATGACTTGGATTGTAGTGGTTAAAAATAGCCAGCTGTTTGCAGGAGGAAATCTTTAGTCATTAGCTATTAATTAATTGCCAATTAAGTGTCCTCATTATGTTTAATTATTTGAAGAATGTGTCCATTAACTTCAACAGTCTAATGTGTTCTCATTCAGTAATTGCAGTCTCCTTGTTTTATAACTATTCGCATGTGTTAATCACTGCTCAGCAACATCCAGCTGCTTAAGAGAATGCCTGGATCACAAAAACTACATGCCTTCACATGTAGTTTAGCTCTAAGTGTGTATTATCTGTCAGAGTCTGTTAGAAAAATGCCTGTCAGCATTCCCAATTGCAATTTTTAAAACAAACAAAAGTGGCCTGTTATTTGCCCCCATAAAAAAGAGGTTCGAAGTGTTAAACAGGATCGCAAGAGGCTGGTGGGCAGTTGCTGGTCAGGTTCCACAGGGCTCATTTTAGGAGCCAGTTTGCAGTTTCTGGATAGGGGACTTGAACGTGCTTCAAGTGAGTTTGCTGATGACACTAAATAAGGAGGATCTTCAGGCTTCTCATGGGTAGAAAGGCTTTGTACAGAGATAGTGATACAGTCGTATGCTGTACAGTCACCAACCACATGAACTTTGAGTTTCTACGCCTGGGATGGGTCTCTGCTCCACAACTACATGAAAGGAGGCTGCAGTGAAGTAAGGGGCAGCTTCTTTTCCCAGGTAGCTTAGTGCTACGGGACAGCCCTAAGTTATGACAGGAGGTTCAGGATGAACAAGGAAAAATTTATTGTCAAAAAGAGCACTGAGGTGTTGGAACAGGCTCGGGAGCTGGAGGAGTCACTGTTCCTGGAGGCATTTATGAAAAGGGTTGGTGTTGCATTGAGTTTCTTAGGTAAACAGTGAGGCAGTGAGCGGTCGGACAAGTTGACCTTAGTGACCTTTTTGCTTCTGTGATGCAAGGCATAGAGGGCAGGTGGGCCAGATTTGACAAGCTGCTCAGGTCCTAGAGTCAGTTCAGTCCAGAGAAGGCTGAGGGGAGGCTTCACAGCAGCCCTACAGCTCCTCACAAAAGGAAGCAGCGCTAAAACAGGAGGAGAACATGATGAGTTTCTTCCCCAGATGGTTGTGGGCACTGGGGCAGCAGTCCCAGCCCCAGTTATGACTTAAGTAATTGTTTGGTCAGTGCTTCTGGAAATGGAACTTTAGAGGGTCTTACACAGAGCTAGGAGATAAAGGCCCCTTCATGATTCTGTAAATAAAAACACAAACACTTAACTGCATTTATAAACTTCTTATTGAAAACTTCCCTCCAAAAGCCCAGTAGTAGAACTTACCTTGAGGGCTTCTAAAATGTGTTTTACTTCCCCTGAGGAATTACATGTAATTACTCCAGCCATCTTGAATTAGTGAACAAAATAAACTAATCGCTTAAACAAAACTGCAGTTATGGTAGGGCAGTATCACAGCTAAGTAAACTTGCTCCATTTTCTATCCTGAGTTAGTTAATTGTCTTGCTGAATGAGATATTAACAACGAAGCAAAGGAGTAATATATAGAGATGCAATACAGTGCTTGCAAACATTTCACAAGAGTAGAAACCAAATGCAGTTCACTTTCCTGTAAAAGAAAGGTAAATGCAGAAGAGGACAGCTTTGTGTTGTTTGCATTACAGCTTGGGCTCAGCTGGGGATGAAAGTTCAGAGGAACCTTCATCGGAACCAACTTCCTAAAAGCTGACATGAAGGGCTTACTTAATTCTAATGAGTTTTTATCTAGCTGGAAACCAGAGATAACTCAGTGTGCTTAACTTAAAAAAAACCAGCTGTATGAAACAGTTTATGTTTGGCCTGGAGAGCGGAGCTACACTTGCCTTCAAGTTCAGGAAGCTCTACTAAATTCAAGAAAGAATACTATTCAAAGATTCAGCTGCAACAATACAAATACAGGAAACAGGCCAGACAGTTTCATTCAGTGAGTAATGCAAGTTTTATACATTATAATTTTGAAGTAGATAACTTGTAAAAATGCTTGTTATTGATTTAAGTATTTCCAGTTTTATTTTTTTTAAGAGAACATACAATGCTAAGTTGATTGCAAGAGGGGTAATTTCTCTCCCCTTTCTTGCCCCCTGAAATAAGCTAAGGTCAGTAGCAAGCAAATAAGCCTTAAGTGCAGAAATAACCAGGACAGTCTCTCTTTCTCCAAAGAAAGTTATAATTTGTTGTTGTGTTAAGTTGAAGACAGACAGGTCTCTACAAAAACTTAAAGGGAGCTGCATTTAGCCATTCCACTTCAGTACAGAGTCTTAAGAAAAGTAATTCTTACAGAGCATTTTTGCCTTTGGTAGAAATGGCCTTTCCAGAAAACAAAGAAGAACCACCACACAAAAGCTGATAATTCTAAGACGGATGCATCATCACCTGCTTCCCACCATATGGAAGCAACCTTAGTTGTTACCAGTATTTGGGGAAGCACACATGGAAATGGGAAAAACAGAGCTATGCATAGATGTTCTTATTGAAGCAAAGCTGTAGAAGAACAGATGGAGTTTCTCTTAAAAAGGGAGAAACATTTATTTGCCATTTAAATTGGCAGCTTTAAGTCTCTAAGCTACCTGCCTACTGATACAATTCAGGACTTCTCACAAGAGGCATCTTAAGCACTATGATTAAAACCACTCCATGACATAGACAAAAGCAGAGAACCCTCCAGAACTGAAAACTGATTTGGTCTCACAGCCTTCTCAGGTAAGGAAGCTTCATAGACCATTTCCTTTTTTTTTCCCATTGGACTGACTTTTTTGTCAGCTACTCCTGAGAAAAAATTGTAGAGAGCACTTTCCTCCTAGGTAACCATGGATCACCAAAATCCAGCACCCCTCCCCTCCGGGGGAGGGCCCCAGCACCCCTCCCCTCCGGGGGAGGGCCCCAGCACCCCTCCCCCCCGGGGGAGGGCCCCAGCACCCCTCCCCTCCGGGGGAGGGCCCCAGCACCCCTCCCCTCCAGCAAAAAAAACTTCCGAGATTGACCATCCCACCCCCCACCCAAAAAAAAATAATCTCTTGGAGATAGTGCAAATCCCAGTATCCAGCACCCAAAAAAAAAAACCAACCAAGCCCACCCCCCTCAACCACCACAAAACTCAAAACAAGTCACTGCTTCAACCTCAAAGAAAACAAAAGCACCCCAAGCATTACAAAACATGCCTACCTGTTGCCTCAGCCACCACTCCAGGGTCACAATCCTCC